CTCTCAAATTAAGAGTGTGGAGTGCCCATCAAAATAACAATTTTAAAGGATTAAAAAGAATATAAAAATCAGGAATGGCTGTTTTAGGTGAAGGCTATAGAAATCAATTAAATTAACAGTACGAGGAGATAAATACAAGCTTTAAAAATAGGGAAAATAGCAAATTAACCTAAACAAAGAGGGGAACATTTACAAACTGTTAGAAAAATTAAATAATTACAAAAGAAACAAATTTACTCTTATACCAAACAAAAAAAGTACTCTTATATCAAACATATTCCTGCCCCCACTCTTTTAACCTTGCAATCCGGTCCGTTGTCTCTTAAATATATTATTTTGATAATTAATTAAAAATTTTATTAAAAAGAAAAAAAAATAAATTTAAGGGAGAAGACATGCAAGATCTTGAACATGAATCAAGAAAATGATAACCCCCAATCTCACCCAATATTTATCTATTCTTAATGGCAACATCTTATGGTGTGTTTTTCCAAGCCAAAAAGAGGCAAGTTTCACTCATAAATGCATAAATTACAAATCTAAGATAAACAAAATCAACAAGAAATTAAAAAAAAAAAATACAACACTAAAGATTAGACAAAAGTTGTTGCACAGTAATTGTGGCTAACCCAAGACGGGGTGAATTGGGTTTGCAGTAAATTTTTCAATCATCTTATGACTGTTCACTTTGATTAAATAAAACAAAACTAATAATAAATGAGAGGCACTTAAATAATAAATAAACACACTTAGTCTTAATCTATAAAACGTACAAACAGTTAACGCAATTGCTAAGTTGTAGAAGTTATATATTGAATAACTTTATTGAAGCTGAGATATTGTTGTGTGGTGCCAATGCGTGTCCTTTATAAATGTTTCTCAAAGAGTGTTTTGGATAAAATTGACTACTACTGATTCCGAGCTTTTCTTAATATTTCAACTTGAATGTGGTTGATGAATTTCGGAGTGAATATTGCAAAAAGATAATGCATACAATTTATAGTGATTTGGTTCTTCCTATAGAGAATAAAACCTATTTAAAGACCTTACTTAACAGCTTAAGCTTTTAGGTCTACTGGTTCACTGAGATGGTATCAAAGCCACTTTGACCAAGTGGTCTAGTATCGATTCCTGTCACTCCATTATAATTAATTAAGTTTCAGCACAAAGTATGGATGGGCCTGTGTTGTCCGCGCTTCAAGCCCAATGAACTTTCGTGTAAGGAGGTATGTTAGAGAACTACACCTTATACTTTGACTTTACATATTCGATCTTGATCAAATATACAAATTATAACACAAACTATATCACCTTGATATTCAGCTTACCCAAGGCATAGATTGAGCTTCAAACAAATTTTCCCTTTGCTTCAATTAATTAATTGATATTCCGATTTCTTTTTCTTTTTCATCATTTTATTCCAAATCAGCTTACTCAATGAGCCGAGTATTAAATTTCTTTATACGATTTGGTCTCAAAGCAATAAATTTGAGCTAACTAATATAAAATAGAGTTCCAATACCAAAAATCGACTCTTGGTAATCTAGGATTGACTCCTAGTCCCCAAAAATAATTTAAACTTGGGACAACTCCTTTACACATGGCAAATCAACTCTTAGGCTATGTTTGGTTTAAAGGAAAAGGTAGGTAAAAGAAACTTTCCTTTCCCTACTTTTTTCTTCAAACCAAACATAGTATTAGTGTCCAAGAGTCGATTCCTAAAGTTCATAGATTAACTTCTAAGATTCATGGGTGCACTCCTAAGGTTCATAGATTAACTCTTAAGGTTTATAGTCAACTTCTTTTTAAAGAAAAAGAAAATTTTATTTATAATTAAAAGGAGGGTCCAAAAGACCTTACCCTCAAAACAAAACTAGGAGTAGAAGCTCAACACAAAGGAGAAACTAAAAATAATAGAAACAAAAGTAATTTAAGAATAACGGGGCTGGTAACCTTTGCTTACTCTAGAGGGTCAATAAACATTTCCTGACTAAGATGTTCCTTAAGTCTTCTTGGACTTAGAGTTCTTTCTCTTCTTGCTTTCCACTATCACCTAATCTTGATTTGAACAATTTGTCTCCTTGGGTATAGTAGTTATAACCGGACTCTCATCCATAAGATCACCTTTCTTCGTAGGAGTGGCCATATGAACGGAGGTCATTGCACCTATATTTTCAGGAACACCCTCACCCTCAGCTCTATAACGACAAGATCTACTAAATGGAAAGTGGACATTATCATGTATTCCAATCTCCCGATTATTATGACTCCATTGATTAACCCTTGGCCAAGGAAAATATGGCCTTTCATCATCGCACTCTTCTTTAATTGCTCGTGTTGTTCCCATCATCTCTGCACTTCTGTGATAGAAAGCGTCTGATTACCTTCCCTTGTTGGGTCTTCTTACTCCTCTGTGTCCTTATCAGAATTTTGTTGAATACCTTTTTTTTCCAACCTTTGGTTCCGTTTCTCATTGATTAAGACTTGTGTTGTGCCCTTATTTGCACCATTACTCATACCTTCATTTTCCCGAAAACCTAGCATGTCATGTATAGCAAGTCGATCCTTATGGATATTGTTCAGGGATTTTCTAGCAAATCTTGTCTCTCACTCTTCCAACGAGGTTTGAATAACTAAAATTGGTACAGCAGTAGTAAGTTGATCACTATGAACACCTCCATCTTTTACAACTTTGACTTCACATGGATCCGAATTGGTATTACTGGTAGGAACCGCTAGAGCTATATCTGTTTGCACTGGAGTTCGATCCATTTGAACTAAATAGCTTGTACGCTGAAATCTGCTTAACTACCAGTAAATTGATCTCCATCTTCTTTGGTTCGATAGACTTTTTATCTTTGGAGGTCATAGTCGTTTTCTCTCCCTCCAACTTCTTTCCTTCCTTCTTGATCCTTTGATGGCATTCATCCTGATCGTGATCATGTTTATAGCAAAAACTATAGTATTTGAGAAGATCTTCATACACAATCTTTTGCCAACACCAATCCAAACCCTATTCGGGTTTTCTTTCAACAAATCAAATTCCACACAACCCTAGCGGTTGATGTACAAGTAAGTCGAATAGTCGCCAAATAGTAAGTGATCTCTCTTACTTAAGCAACTTCACATGTTATGCTTAAGCAACGTACGATCTTTCCTTTTTCAATACAAACCACTCGACTTTGAGATAACGGAGTCTCTGGGACACAAATAGTAAGTGATCTCTCTTTTAGTTTCAGTTGTTTCAATCTCAAGACATTTTTAAACTCAAACAGCATACAAACATTTTCTCATGGTTGCTGATTTCTTTGAATTGAATAATTGATTGAAGCTTGATCCATACAACTAGAGGTTTTCATGGTCTGGTTTGGAGATCTCAAACCAAACCAGTTAATTACGATTTGAGAAATTCTCAAACCAAACCAAACCAAACCATTTTAGTATAGAATGGTTTTGTGTAGTTTTAATATAGTTTGGGCCATTCAATTGGGCTTAATCCAATTAAAAAGCCCAAATAACATGTATACCTACATAAATAACAACGTAATTCAAATATTAACAAGTGCCACCTATTACTATTATATAAATTATACTCACACTATCTCAAACATAAGTAGCTCCTTGGCATCAAATGATACGAACAACAATTACTAGTAATACATTAAATGTTAAATGAATATATGCGTACAAATACTTAAACATATATATTATATACATTAATAAATATATTATTAATAATTCAATGTGGTACAATGTGGTTTGGCGGTTTGGACCATAAAATGAACACCCCTATGTATAATAGATCTTCTTGTTCATTTTGTCCACTTGCAAGCCTTAAACATCACACTTGAAGAATAACCTTTTAACTCATTAAAGCATATCTATGGCTGCAAGACAATTGTTAGTTCTCAACTTGATTGTTTGCTATCATCAGACCATGCATATTTGTGAGATCAATTTTAACAACTGTGGCTCCCTAAATAGTAGAACCCAAATCTTATTGGAAAGCCTTCAATGCACAAGGTTTTAGAGAAAATAAAAATTGTTATGGAAAATCTCCAATCTGTAGCACAATAACTAATTTTTATGAATATTTGTAAATTCATAAAAAATATTCTAAGATAAAATAAAATTAAAAAACAAAATCTTCTTCTATTATTTAAAATATATCTATTTTAATTTCTCCTCAGGCCTCACCCCTACCCTCTCCCTCCTATGTCCAGCCCTATGACCTCTTTCCCCAAATCAATGATACAAAAGGAAGAAACCCATTTGCATTAATTGTAAGAAAAATAATTAGAAACTTCCTTCCGAGTCCCCGATCAATCTCTCTCTCTCTCTCTGTTTGTGTTGTGTAAGTATTATATTGTAGTGATAATGCACGTGCCTTTCACCTAGTATACTTTAATACGTATATATACACATGTAGTAGACATGTTGAGAGAGAGAAAAATGGATAATGGGTTGTGGATACACATGAGGTTTGGTTGGTGACGCACGGATGTTCGCATGGTTTACCTACACCGTAACACGTACCGGAGTAATGCCTGAGGCTGAGGTGAGGAGGTCACCGTCAAGAATCTCACCCGGAAAACAAAAATAAAAATGTCAAAAAGTAAATAATTACTGACGATGCCGATAGCTACAGTTCGAAATTTATCGAGCCTAATACGTTACCATAAGAGAAAGAAAGAGATGGAAAAAGATATACACATAGATACATGTGTTTTGAAGAAAAAAGGAAAATAAAACAGAATATAAATCCGGTAGAATTAGGGTTTTGGGATCCAAGATGGTTAAAATTAGAAAACCAACGAACCTATTTCTTTCTTTATTTTTTTTATATAAAATTTCTTGAAACTCATTATTTATTTATTTATATCTTCTTTTACTGTGGGAGGGTGGTGATGAAGGATAGTTTGTCCTGACATGGGTGAGAAGATACGATATTAGAGAAGGAGATGGGGAGAGGGTAAGGCCTACAGGTCGGTGGCCCCAATCCGTTGCCGCATAACGACACAGTAGCCTGCGTGAGAGGAGCATGAATAGAAGCTCTCCCTCCTTCCAAATTAATGTTCATTTTGTATTTTTATTTGTGGTGGGTAAAGGAAGAGGAAAATCAGGAAAACTGTGAGAAGGAAAAGGATGTATGCATGTATGGTTGGATGGATGGATGGATGGATGGATGGATGGATGGGTATTGACAAACAAATCATAGAGAGAAGGAAGTGAAAGAAGAACATCTTTGAGTCCTCTCATTAAGAACAAGAAGGACAGAAGGAAGGAGAGGCGAAAGAGGTCTTTGGATTTGGTTGTCTTCTTCTCTTCATGTCTTGAGTGCAACTGTTGCTTTAGATATTTTTTATTTTGGTTTTTTTTGCTTTATCAGAAGGCCTTAGTTCAGGTAGATCAGTACCCGGAAACTAAAATTTCAAATTTTCTTTCTTCTTTGCTAGTTTTTTTGAATTCTGAGAAGGGGTAGGACTAAAAAGGAGGCTGAGTTTTCATGTGGGTTGATGACAATTTTGGTTATTGATGATGATTTCTATATTTTAGATTAGTTGGTGGGAAACAAAAGAGAAGGAACAGCACCAACACCAGCTAGCAGCTAGAACAAAGAGGCGAGGGAGTTGTTGAAGATGGCTGCAGCTTCATCGTCCACACCCTTCTTTGGAATTAGAGAAGAAGATCAAAACCAGATGAAACAACAGCAGTCCTCAACACCCACTTCATCAACCGCTCCAGCCGCACCACCCCAGAAGAAGAAGAGGAATCTTCCAGGAACACCAAGCAAGTAGCTATTAATTCTACATACATATGCACATAAATAAGTTATAACCAACTAATAAATAATCTTTCATGTCTTCCTTCTTCTTTTCTAGCTTTTCTATCTCCTCCTTTCTGCCAGAATTACTCAGAAAAAACCCTAATTCTAAAATCTGTTTGATGGAAATGAAATGGGTACTTGTTATCTTCAGTTGCTTTTCTTTTTTCTTTCTCTAATTATTATTATTATTTTTTTCTGCTTTTTTCTCTCTGTCTTCTCTTGCAACAGATCCAGATGCAGAAGTCATTGCACTATCTCCCAAGACTCTAATGGCCACAAACAGGTTCATATGTGAGGTATGCAACAAAGGATTCCAAAGGGAGCAAAACCTACAGCTCCACAGAAGAGGACACAACCTCCCTTGGAAGCTAAGGCAGAAGACAACAAAAGAGGTGAAGAGGAGGGTTTATTTGTGTCCGGAGCCCACATGCGTCCACCACGACCCTTCAAGGGCTCTCGGCGACCTAACAGGCATTAAGAAACATTTCTGTAGAAAGCATGGAGAGAAGAAGTGGAAGTGCGATAAGTGCTCAAAGAGATACGCAGTGCAGTCAGATTGGAAAGCTCATTCAAAGACCTGTGGTACTAGGGAATACAGATGCGACTGCGGAACTCTTTTCTCAAGGTAACAAACCGATACCCATTAATCATATTAAGCCCATTAACGAACATAATCAATCGCATTACAGCCAACAATTAGTACTACTAGATGTACTACTTGGTCTCCTAAATGTTAAAAGAGAGTTAAATACTGGTATATTAATTTGATGGGTTTCGGAGAAGATAAATACAACAATTAGAGAGCTAATGGAGGGGATCGAACAAAAGTTTCGCAACTTTTTTATTAGGTTTTGGTAGGTTTAGAGTTTCGATTCTTCGAGCTTGCAAAAGAGAGTTTAGATTCTTCGTGTGACATGAGAGGGAAAAGATCTGAGGAGATATGAAAGTTCGAGAGGTGTTTGTTTTCGCTTCCTGATTATTATTTTCTTTTCTTTTTTTTCCTTTGGCTTTTGAGGTTCTTTCTTTGTCTATTACGACTGTTGCTACTACTACTACGTGTAAGGAAATGGCAGAGGGACTGCTCCCACGTGAATAATCTCTGAAACTGCTATGGTCATAGAGGTTTCAAAAAACAAAAAACAGTTCACCTCTCCTTCTCCTCGGAACCACCGCCCCCTTTTGCCCTCCCACCTCGCTTCCTTTCCTATTCACGTGCTGCCATGCCAATGTAATGAAGGGTGTTCTTGTTAGCAGGTTTGTTCTCTTCTGGGTTGGCTAGATGTGATCACGCCTGAACTTTTTCAGGTTCCCCTTTTGATGAAAACGTTAGGATTAGGAGGAAAAGATCAAAATGCGCTCTTACTCTCTCTCTCTCTCTCTCTCTCTCTCTCTCTCTCTGGATTTTGGTTTTAATTTAAAAACCAATATCAAGGATTGGTTTCTCTGAAGGGTCCAATTTTTGAAGTTTGGTCCTTGCATCTGAAAGAAAGTCCCATGGTTGTGCATTAGCTAGCTAGAAAGGTTCTTTTGTATATTAGGTCATTATCAGTAATTTTCATGATTTTAGCAGAATTCTTTCTTGGTAAAAAAGACACTGAATGAATTTTGCATTAATTAAAGAACAAGTTCTAGAATTGGGCTTCTTAATTGATATGCTTGTCAATTCTGAAAAAAATTCTCTTCTTGCATTTATTGAAGAGTCAGTCTTGAAAGTGGGCGTTCTTGGTTGGTTGATTAATCATTTTCACATTTTAGTAGTAAAATTCCTTCTACCCTTCTTAAAATCCTTCCCGTTTTGTTGGCTAATTGAAGTAAATTCAAGCAGTTTCCATTTCCTATTTTTGTATCTTCAATTGACCGCTTTCTTCTGCCTTAATTGTATCTTGTTTTTCAATTACTGACGAATTGAAAACGCAAGCTAGAATGATCTCTTTATGAGAGAGAAACCTTTCAATTTGTTAATGAATGAATAAGGAATAACCAAATTGGCCTAACTTCAGAGATAAATTTTAAATCCAATCAACATTCTAACACCAATAATGCTGGCAGAAAATGTGAAAGGAAAGGAAGAAACTTGCTACTGCAAAATATTTCTTTGTGAAGATATATAGTTATTTTCTTGAAAATTTCTTGAATTCAACTATTTTTTAAATTTGAAATTATCTGATTAGTTCTATATTCTTTCTTCATGTAATGTCAATAACTTGTCATTCTACATTGAAACAATAATATTACTTTTTGACATGAATTTATATTTCAAATTTGATTCTAGCTCTCCCTCATCCCTCCGCACCTCACATTGACGTAAAGCCCCATTCAGTCTTGATCCCATTTACCTTTCTACACTAACTGATCTCATTCATTTTCACTTTCCAATTTTTGCAGGAGAGACAGTTTCATTACCCACAGGGCCTTCTGTGATGCACTGGCTCAAGAGAGTGCAAGGATTCCCACTGGCCTAAGTACCATGGGAAGCCACTTATATGGAAGTAGCAGCGTGGGTTTAGGCTTATCACAAGTGGGTTCACAAATTTCTTCATTGCAAGATCAGAACCACCCATCCAGTGATATACTACGGCTTGGTGGTGCCGGAGGGCCACAGTTTGATCATCTGATCCCTCCGTCCAACCCTTCATCATTCCGTCCGGCACAGCCCACGCCTTCGTCGGCCTTCTTCCTTCCAGGCTCAAACCAAGACTTCCATGAAGAGCAACAGTCCCACCACGGCTTATTGCAAAACAAGCCCTTCCATGGATTAATGCAGCTTCCTGATCTCCAAAACAACCCAAGCAACTCTTCTTCTGCCACCGCTGCCAATCTCTTTAACCTAAGTTTCTTCTCCAATAGCAGCACCACCAGCAACAACACCAATAATAACAACCACCATCTATCCTCTTCTGGTTTATTAATTCCCGAGCAGTTTAATGGGACTCCCGGAGGTGAAGGGAGTAGTCTCTTTTCAGGTAGCATCATGGGTGATCACATGGGTTCAAGCGTCCCTTCCATCTACAATTCTTCCGTGCAAAATGACACCGGAATCGCTCAAATGTCTGCAACTGCATTGCTCCAGAAGGCTGCTCAAATGGGTTCAACTACAAGTGGCAATGGTGCTTCTTTGCTAAGAGGTTTCGCCAGCTCTTCGTCGAGTGGTGTCAAATCAGATAGATCTCACATGTCTGCAAATTTTAGAGGAAGTTTTGGAGGAGGTGGTGGTGGAGAAAACATGAGGTCGCAGCTAGAAAATGAAAACAATTTCCAAGACTTAATGAATTCTCTTGCAAATGGTGGTTCTTCTATTTTTGGGAGTGGATCTGGAGGAGTCCCTGGGTTTGGAGGAAACTGCACTAGTGGTGGACATGAACAAGAAGCGAGCTTTGGAGGATTTAATGCCAATAGGATTTCGTTAGATCAGCATCATCACAGCACGAATTTGTGTAACATGGACGAATCTAAGTTGCATCAAAACCTTGCAGTGAGCATTGGAGGATCAGATAGATTAACCAGAGACTTCCTTGGTGTTGGGGGTATGGTGAGAAGCATGAGTGGTGGGATACCTCAAAGAGAACAGCATCATGGCCTTGACATCAGCTCTTTGGACTCTGAAATGAAGTCGGCCACATCGAATCGACCTTTTGGAGGTGGGAATTTGCAGTGAGGCAGTGTTGAGGTAAAAGGGAAAAGAAAGAGAGTTTTTAGGTATGTAACTCAACTTGGGGAATTTTACTGGGCAAAATTTGTGATGGATGCTGTTTAATTATAGTAGGATTTCATACGTACATGGGCCTCAAGGCTTTTTTATCTCTCATCGATTTTCACATAATTTCGTCCTGTGAGTAGTTGTTTTTCTTATAGATAGTCGTGAAACTGAGATTACTTAGCTTTTTTCTTAAGCCTTTTCTTTTTGTCCTCACTTTTGCTGGCTATTGCCAGAAAGGAAAGTGATGAAATAAAAGTAACCTTTTTTCCCTCAAATATGATGGCACTTGCGCTGATCATCCATCTGGAACCAAACAATCTCACTCGTGGGTGATCACAGACGTATTGGGTACCGACCAATACGAATATATTGTACAGTCTATAGCTTGCCAAACTCATCGGGAATCTCTCAAAAGTTAACATGATGTCAATATTTGATACTCTCTAGTTTTTAGCCACTGTATGATGAGTTGTGGGAAAGTCGTACAAGATTATATGTGTGTGTGCGGATGTTTTCATGCATCTTTGCATCCAGGTTCCTTTTACTTTTGTGTGTGTGTGTGTGAGTGTGTCTGTGTCTTAGTCTCTTAAGTCTTAGAAAGAGAGAGAGAGAGGTAGGGAAGAAAGAGGGCCGGGAAAAACTCTGCATGAAGATATAGGGGTTGATGGCTTGATATTCCGTGTGCATGTCTGCGGGTGTAATCGTTTGAGAGAGAGAGAGAGAGAGCTCTGCTGTCGCATTTAGTATTGGCTGTTCGATCTGTGTGAAGTGTGAACTCGTGTGTCTGTGGTGTTCTCGTTTGCGTTGAATGTGTATTTCTGCTTAGGCATGTGTCCATGTTTACGTATGTGCATGTCGGTTTTTGGCCCGTCTGAGAGAAAATTACCAGGGGTTGTGTATATGTGTCTTCCCAAGTGTGTATCTGTGTTTTCGACCTCACGTCCTTTCTGGGCGAGTCTGTATGTTTGTATGTGTGTGTAACAGAGAGAGAGAGAGATGTAGAATTATTTAGCTCTGGTTGAGCCCCCTTGTCTTCCATGGTGTCTTCTTTGTTTGTCGTGAGACACCTTCGTACAGAAGCGATTCCATTCTTTGTTTTGTATATCCATCTCTATTCTCTCAATACAATAATATTACTGTGTTCAGTCAAGGTGTGTGCATGAGAGAGAGAGAGGGTTTTGATCTACTTTGTAGCATGAGAAAGACCTTTCTCAGAGAGTCTTCTTAATTTAAGTCTGCTTACCCACAGGCCACAGCCACACTCTAGGCTGCTATCAACTGTTAGTAGCTAGTCTCCTTCTACTCACGAATCACGACTTTCTAGCAATTTGAAAATCCTGTGCTGGAATTGCATGGTTTGGTTGACATTCCGTTGAACATTCCATTAATTCCACGCTCATTGTTTTCCTCCAAGTCCTCCCCTACGTTGACTCCTTTCTCCCAACCTTATCCTTCAATCCTCTATTGCAACTACGTCCATCGCTCACTCTCTTGTCTGCGTTTCTTTGCTGATGACCTGTCAACCTCCTCTGGCCCTTTTGTTTGATTCCCAAACTACTCAGGAATCATGTGAGAGACGCCTGCATTTCATGGAGAAGAGCAGCAAACGGCAGCAGAAAAAGGGAATCCTAAATTTTCGATGTGGTAATTATTGTCAAACTCCGGTGGCAGTTTTGTCGTTTTGGATTTATCCCTCAGATGCTCATGCTACCCTCTTTTATATTAATTATTTAAATTTTTTTTTCTTTTTTGAAAAATTTTGTTTTCTATATTGTTTTTATCTTTTTTCCCTTCCCATACCACATTACTTTATTGAAATATTGAATTAATCAAGATAGTATTCTCTTATTATTTTAGGTGTCCCATGCGTTTGTACGTTATGACCTACATGCCCCACTTGCATAGCAACGACCAAGTACCAAAACAATTTGTCAAAAAGTTGCCATCACTCTCCTTCATTTTATATTATTTAAAACAACAAGCAAATAATTAAATAAATTGTTATTGATAGGGTGGTAATGGATCGGGTCAGGTCAACACAACTAAGATCCTCAAACGGCTAACCCGACGTACCCATTTGCTATTTTGTTGATAGATACATTGCCACCTTAAAGTCAGATGAGATGCTTAATAATTGACTGTGTCGGGTTTTGTGGGGACAAACTGGGTTCGGGTCCTAAAAGGACCTGTAGCTAACCGACCCTTTTTCTAATCTGCTGAAAATTGTACCAATCGAACTCCGGAAAGCCCGGACCAGTATGTCAGTAAACGAATGAAATGGGTCGACTTAAACCAACCTCATTGTGGGGAAACCAAATTGGGGTTTGGGTGGAATCGGTTGGGTCGAGTCAGATCTGAATCAAGAAACGTTTCACTCCATAAAATATATGATTATGTTGGAATCCAATACATTCTCACATGCAAATTACATTAATATAATTCCAGAATATTGTGGTCGAGAATGCATAAAACCATAACAACAATATCTTCCTTCGGGATTATATCTTAGTTAAACAAAAGCCAGGAATAAAGGATTGAAAAAGAATAAAATAAATCACAACGCAAAGCATCTATAATCTTGTTTTAATGGAGATAATATATGCTCAGACAGCTAAACGTTTGTTTGTAGTCTCGTGATTGGGTCTGGCGTCTTTTATGGAAGCATTCACACACCATGTAGGGTACTGGGGACTTTGAGAGGGTTATACGGACCACTGGGTCCATCGTTCTGTTTCTAACGTGGATATTTAGCAGTGTGGGATCCTTTGTTGTAGGGTTTTCTACTACTTAGGGTTTGAAAAGTTGAAACTCTCTCCCACTTATTCATCTGTGAAGAGAAAACAAAATGCATTTATAATATTGGAGTACGGCCCTTTGCAAGGAATAGTAATAGTATACTTGGATATATTACTAGAGCTACCCCACTGTTTAAAATCTTTTCTACTTATTCATGACTGCAGTAAAACTCAAATAGGAAACTCAATTACCAACTAATGGTAGTTCATTTGATAGGTTCTCTCACTGGTTGTAGTGTAGTGGAGACATAACATCAAATTCCACAAGTCCAGATCACCTGCCAGTGCCAACAGCATCTGATGCATGGTGGGTCTCAGTTTTATACTGAAATGTGTGGTGTGAGATGAAGTTGGTAGGGTGTTGTAACGTATTTCTGTTGGTAGGTAATCCCAACTCAAATTCTACTGTCACTAGGGTTGGGGGGTTACGACTTACGAGGGTTTGACAGCTTTAGCGGGGTGTCCAGAAGTGAGGAACCGTGAGTTTCGGATTAGGTGGGCCTTGGGCTCCTTGCAAATTCGCTTGGCCCAGAGGTGAAGGCAGAGCAAGATGGTCAGAAGAGTAAGACTGCTGGCTGTTTTTCATGGGAGGAGAACTAGAAGGACATGCCAGGGGTATATTTGTCACTAGAAAAGAGAGTATATGGGTCGGAAACCGGTTGAGAACTCTTGGTTGGGCTAAAGGAAGAACATCTCGTAGTGGATGATGAGTTGGACAAGGTTGAATTAGAGGATTACGTAGTAAATGCTCACAAAGTTGGAGGAATACAAGGTTACAGAAAACTGAAGGACCTGATGTGTCTATGGAGATGTAATGGTTAAGGGAAACAAGAGAGGTTCGAAAAGTGTAACAGGACGAGGTAGAGGGAGCAGAGGCGGCAAGGCTCTTTGATGTTAGGTGGTTTCTGTCTTGATGTCTGGCTTTGTTCCTTGTGAGAGTGTGAAGTTGTAGGCTTAAGGGTCCTGTTTTCCGAGTTGGGTCTGGTTTTTCTTTGTGAAGGTGCATGGTCTCTTGTGGTTAGGGTTATCGCAAGAGTTTTAACCAATCAAAACCCACCTATGAATTCTCATAAATAACACCAGATTGGCTATCACATTTATGATTACAGTTGTTTGAATAGGGCTACGCTGGGATGGGGCTTTATATTTCTTTTTCCTTTTTCTTTCTAATAATCTTTTTTCTATTTTCTTAAAAAAAATTAGTATATGAAAATGGGCTCCCAAAAAAAGAAAAAAAAAAAAACTGATGGTGACCCAATTTTGGTAAGTTCTCTGGTTGGTTAGAGCAAAAATTTGGGATCAAATCCTGCTGTTATTGCTTAAAAAAATAAGGCCTCATTTGGTTCACATGAATAGGGGTCTGGAATCGGAATGGGCTATTTTGATTCCAATTATTTGGTTGGGCAGAATTGGAATCCCATTCTCATTCCTTGTGGAATGGCATTCTCCCATTTGAGGGAATGGTCATTCTCTGCCCCTCCCTTGGAAAAGAAATCTCATTCTTGTAGATTCCAATTTCCATTTCCATTCCTGTTGATTCCAATTCCAATTTCAAAGGATTTTGATTCTAATTCCACCTGTGAATCAAACAGACCCTAATTACTTTACAGGGGGTGGATGACGATACACCCTGTAACTTCAGCATGAAAGGCCACTATGTACCAATTTTCTATAGAGAGAGGTACAAAGAAAACGGGATGGGACCGAATGGTCCGACAGTTGACTCGGGAACCAGCCATGAGTTGGGGTTTGGTTTTGGACCCTAAAACTGTCCAATCAAGTTCCAAATTAGACAATTGGACCATTTAACCTAAGAACCAGTGGTCAAAGTGATTCAATTTCTGATCTAGTTTTCAAAATCATTGTACAAACTATACAAAGAAAGTGACCAAGGTCTGTTTATCTCCTATATGTCAAATAAAGGGTTAATTTGGGATCTCCACATGTACAAATTGAAATACACCATTGTTCAATAAAATGCTTAGATAGGGGCCGTTTGACAATTCCTTTTGGGAATATCTTCTGATAACTCTGGTAGTCAAAAGACATATTAAAGTGAAGTCCATTTAATGTCTTTCCGCACGTTTTTTCACGCGAAATGTAATAGCTAAACTTTGACAACTTAGTATCAAAACATCACCTTTGGCATTCGCGGACTTAAATATGACCTCTTCTTATTACCATCTGCTGATAAGTACATTATATCCGAGAGATGTGGAGTTTTGGAAGGATCTTCAGCTTATATCCAATCAAAATTTTGGAACGTGGTTGGTAGCACGAAACTTCAATATTATGAGTCATTCAGATAAGAAACTTAGCTTTGGCCAGTCAACAATTGGCATGCTATTAATGAAGTTAATAATTTCATGGAAAACTATTGTCTATT